GAACGACTCTTGCGGCCGACCGCATCGACTGCCGACATGCAAACAGCCGTGGCCGGGCGCTCACTGGCCGCGGGCCCCTCACAAGACAAAGCCACGATCGAAAACCCCTTGGCTGCGCCTCTCATTCAAGCAAACGATGGGTCTGCTCCCCAGACTCCCCATTACACTTCGGCCACATTCACGTCGACCAGAAAACCGCTTCCTGACGGCCGAAAGCTAGCTTCACCAACGCCTTCCCAGGTCGACGCGGCTCGCCAAGTTCAAGCCACGCCAATACCTCCGCCCCTGTCTAGCCAGGTCAAAAACGACGCGGTCGCTTCTAGCGGAGTTTGCGACGACGTCGAGTACCGATGGATAACTTGCGACGGTGGCGAGATCTTGGTGCTCCTGCCAACACCGGTGCAGTATCGGGAGCTCAAAAATCCAAAGTGCGGCAGCCCTGTGCTTTTTGCCATCGCTGAAGAGCTTGGAGCGCAAGCTCAGGGCGCGTTCATTATCGACATCCCAAAGGATTGCCGATCAGTGTTGCCAGAACGGCCGGTTGGGGAATCGGACTGCACAGTCTATTATCCGGAAAAGATTGAGTCGGGATTCTGGAGAATTCGCAGCGAGAAAAGAAGGAGGCGGTTCCCCCATTTGGATGTCGACCCAAGCAAGGCCAATCCCAACATCGGTGCTGCCATCCAAGAGTTCCAGATGCGCCTTGAAAATGGCCTTAGGGGTGTCGCATACGAGACCGATATCCCAGCGCACACTCGCGAAGATCGCGCACGAGCTTCTCTGCCTGGAGAAAGCTCCCTTTGGCCCATCCCAGGTCAACTGCCTAAGGACGGTGGTATAGTCGGACTCCACACTCCAACTGGCTACATAGGGGCGCCCGGGGCACCGTTTTTGTGGCATTTCGAAGACCTTAGGCTGGGTGCCATGAATACCCAATACTGTGGGCATAAAGCGTGGTTTGTTACTCCGCCTGTTAGGGATCACCCTCACAAAGGAGACAGGGCTGCGGTAAAGCGAAGGTTGATTTGACTATTTGGAAGTAACGAATACAAGGAGGGGATTGGTGCATTGCACCAGAGCCCTCGTGCAAGGTTTTCATGCAGGCGGCCGCGCACGGGCCTGGCAGCCACCGTGGCTCAGCGACCCTCAAGGCGCCACGCCACCACACCGCC